CACACCCTCTTCGGAGAGAACGAAGAGCACCGACTCTCGAGATGGTTGTCGAAAAAAAACGACGCCGAAAAAGTATCGGCGCAGGACGTTGATCTGATTGAACGGGATTGTGCTCTCCGGGACTTCTACGAGATCTCCCCGCCCGCATCAAGATTCAAGGCGCAAAAACGCGGCGTGTGTGTGCCATTTTGATGCTGAGCGCCGCCGGAACCCTCACAGCTGCTGGAAACGGCAGTGAGGGGCGAAGATCAGATCATGAGGTTACGCATTTTTTCTTCGGTCCTGTACTGGCCTGATCGGTGTGCGCCGATGGAGGGAACGTGGCCTGGGAAGGATGCGCCAGATCAGATCAGCGAAACAGGCGGCGTTTCCACCATCCGTTCTGTATGCTTGGTTGGAGAAGGCAGCCCAGGACAGAAGTTCGTCCACGTTTCTTCCAAGGTCAAGCTTCGTTGACTCGTGGTTCCCGCCCGCCCGTTGGAAGCTCCTCCGGAGTTGGACCCTCTTTGCAGGGCCGGTGACGTGCCGTGGGGCATCGTCATATCGTGAACGGCCGTCGAGCCGATGCGTGTGGAAAAGCTGGGGTAGGAGATTTCGTTGCGATTTTCCATAGCGGAGATTGGGGTAGACTGGAGAATCCCTTGGATGAGGCAGGCAACGATAGGTCACGATTGGAATGGAAGAGAAGCGCCACCGCTTCTGTGGTCCCCCCACACGTTGGGTGGTATTCACGGATGGTGCCAGTGCACCACAGAGCATGACGCTGTCGATCCCGTGGAAGGCAGCGCCCTCTTTTCCGCCGTCTGGTGTTGCTATGCTCCAACGCCGTCCTCTGTCTATGGCACGCCAATGAACGAATGTATGCTTGGTGCGGTGATATGATAGCTGAGAGCTGTGCAACGATGGCAGCCTTACTGGCATGTTTTTGGGGGTCATGAGACCATGTTTCCCAGGACGAGACCTGTCTTGCTTCCCCGCGTTACAACAACAGCGGCCTGGCTGGGGTGCTGAGCTCTGATTTGCTTCGGCTCTGCATGCCCGAGTTCATGATCTAGCCATTGGTGGTTGCTAGAATCATCATTCTCGACTGATACAGCGCCTTGAAAATCAGAGCTGCGTTGGGCGGTGACAGGAGATCAGATCAGTCGAGGGCGCCAACCGGACGGCTGACAGACGGTGTGGCACCCCCTGTTGGGTTGCAATGGACGAAGGAAGGGAAGATGGGAGAATCTCTGGTCTTTGCTGCAATTAGACTCTGGTGGAAGTCTGCGGGCCGCCGTTGGCAACCGTGTGGGTGTTGATGCTTCTATCGCATCGATAACGGTGTTTCCATGCGTTGTAGCTGCATGCCATTGATGTCTGGCCAATTCCAGAACACCAAGCAGACGACACAAGACCTATCACAGCATGCCAGGCCTCAAACCACCCTGTCGTGTCGCGCATCTCACCCGCCAGGCGCTACTTGGTCGGTGGAAAAGAAAGCTGGTTTGAGGGGGAAACGAGGGGTGATGGAGGGCATGATCTGAAAACAGAGAGTCGATTCGTCGACGGACAGGCGTGGCTTGCGTCGATATCAGTTGTGTCGAGTTGAGGTGGTGAGAAAGTCGCATGTCTCTCGTTCTTCCGACGCGCCGAGCGTTGTTCTCGGATCTGTCGATTCGCAGAGTTGGTGCTGCGGAACTGCCCTACAGCACGTTGCTTGCTCTGCTTCGTCGGTGACCGCCATCAGTTGGTACACCCTCACCTTCCTGTCTGCGAGGACCTATGACGAAAGTAGCCGGCCAAGTACCGGTACCTCTCGAGGTTTGCGCCGTCGCTGAGAATCCGTCCGTTCTCCGTCACCTCGTACCTCAGCGGCGTACCTTACCTCACCCATGGGTGGACTTGTGGAGGACAGAGGCAAGTCAAAGACCCTCCAGCAGGCCCTGTCTGCGTGTCTGCGCAAGCTGAGTGGCTCGAGGGGCGATTTGGTCGGTTACAGAGCTGGAGTCCGGTGTCAGCTATCTCCATCTTCTCCAGTGTTTTTCTGCGAGGATTGTCGACATTATTGCTCAATGTGTTATTGGACGTTATGCTCCATGATTCGCGTGAGGATGCCAATGACCGAATTCCCCATTTTTCGTGCTGCCATGAGATGAAGGGGCCAGTCACCGAGGGAAACAGAAAAAAAAGACGTCCGGAAGAGTGCTGCAGCTGCAAGAGAGCAGTGCGAGGCGAGGACCCCCAGGCCGGGAATACCTAGCGCCAGCTTCAGCCAAATGTCCAGCAATAGCAGTCGTGCCTCGCGCTACCCGCTAGGTTATCAGGGGAGGCACTGGAAGGCGCTGGGCCGAGGGAGCCACTTTACTGCCGTACTTGGCAACTATGGCGTAGTGCCTGCAGCTCGCAGCGTTGCCAGTGACACTCTGGGCCCCCAATCCCCACCGCTAATCTGGCCTACCATTGCTCGCTGGTGCCCTGCTTGCGCTCTCTTGGCCTGACTAGTCCCCAGCAGCGCATCCTTTTCCCTCGCGGCCATGTCCCGGTACCTGTGACTTCACGCTCTTCCTTTCGCGCGCCGGTCGGTCAAAGGTCCAGTCCAGTCTTTGCTCCATCACACCACCAGCACCACCGCTACCGCGACCGCACACCCTCTTTTCCTCCCAGGGCTTCCCGTCTCTTCTTCTTCCTTAAAAGAACACACAATTGATCAGCACCCGACTCTGCCTCTTCAGGGTCCTGTCACTCTGCCTTTGACGTACCCTTAAATATCTAACGAACCTCGCCCGGCCCCGTCTTCAACGGTTCATACGCAACTCATGAACTTGCTATTGAGGCAATCCAACTTACCAACTACATCACTCTACGACATTGGCCCGCCCAGCCTCAACATCGATATCACCTGAACCGGAACAACTCGTCAGTACCCAGGGAGTCCGAGAACATAGGTCCCCCTCAGCCTGAGCACAACGACGAAGATCCCACGAACCTTTACCTGACGACCGCTTCTTTCCCCTCACCTCATAGGTGAAATCATCCGCCTTCGGGAACGACCCCTCTCGCATCACGAGACCACCGACCTTCAACGCGGCTGGTCGCTGCCAACCCCTCACATCACCATCCAAGCCATCGTCGAATAGTTGCCCCTCTCGGGCCGTCGGCGACACCTCATCCTCTCTTCCGCCGTTACACAGAGCCCCTTCACAATGGTCGAAGTCCTGTCCCCAGGCCCCGGCCAAAATGGCCACGCCACTCCCACTCACGACGACAACGTCGCTTCCCTGGCCCGTATGATTCTTGCTAGCAGCATCGCATCTAACCAGGAGGACAAGATGATGAGCCGCGAAGAGCGCCATGCCATGATGAAGGAGATCAGCCAGCACCAGGCCATCAAGGACGAGCTTCACAAGAAGCGCGGCGGCTGGCGCACTCCCCGTCGCGGCTGGTCCATTACCGACTCACCCGTTGCCTCGTCGCAGGGCAGTCCTGCGCCCAACGCTTCGCCCTACCCTGCTCCTCCTATGGAGTCGCAGACATCTACTACATCCAACTCAAGCTCCATCTCCTCTGTTCCGGAGCAGGGCGAGCTTCCAGCAACAGAGATGAAGAATGCGCCGCATCCTCCCCAGGTTCGCCGGCCTCCTCTTCCGCCCCCACGCCGCTCCTACTCGGTCATGGAGTACGAGCCGCCACCACGCACCCACCGGCCCTCGGCTCGTATGGATATCTTTGATCTTCCCATTGAGCTTCACTACACCATTATGGACTACCTCGATCCTATGGATAGTGCATGCTTGGGCCTGACCAACAGCCACTTCTACGATATCCACCGTCGCATGCACGGCAGTGTTCCACTGTCGTCCCACCGCGACGGACCCAATGATTTGGAGTGGGCTTTCTACCTCGCCAGCCGCCGCGTCCCGCAGTCCAGCTCGGGAACTTCCACACCCACTACTGAGAGTCACAGCCAACCGCACCCTCTTGAGGGCATGCGCCTGAAGGGGCAGGTCTACTGCCGAAAGTGTGGTCACTACCGCTGCCAGCTGTACCGCCACTTGCGCGAGTGGATGGGTCCTGACAGGGAATACTGCGAGGTCACCAAGAAGTACGGCCGCCGTGCTCCCGAGGATGCGGCCGACCATTGCTCCATCAAGTCGCCGAAGCACCCTCATCGTTGCGGACGTCATTCTGCAAAGCCTACCCAGCCTCCCGCCAAATAATTGGCGGGTTTTGTATCATATACCACCGGCGGCCATGAGGAGCCGTCGGGTTTGCAGCGAGGAGTTAAGACTACAAAAGAAAAAGAAAAGAGAGATCTGTATAGTTAAACGGGACGGCGTTCGTTGACTGGTTACATTGAGACGAGGAAAGAAGCTTTAGGTTTAGGTTGCATCAAGTCACCGAGAATCTGCAATTGGGTACAGAATACCTAAGATGAGATGGGAAAGCATCAGACCGACACACCCACAGCAGCTGGGGTCAGCAAAGAGATGAGCTATCTATCATGAGCATAGACTGCCATAGAACATACAATATCGAGCATTACCATTCTGTTCATAAACTATGCATCGCAATTTTCTTCGTCCCTGGATCTTGGAGCGGTGAGGTCCGGGCGATGACGTAGTGCTGACACGGATAGATTGCGGCCCCTTTCGGGACGTTTCGCGTTGAAGATAACCATGCCCTGAATCATTGTTTATCTCTGCCCGAAAACGAAGCTCATTCGCCAGGGAAGATCAGCTATCGGTCTTTTGTCCGGTGCTGAAAATAGGTTTTGGCTTTCTGGGGCCAAGCATTTTGACCTCAGTCTTGGGTGTGTAGGTCCAGCACCCAGCGTGCTGTGTTGCTTCTTGATGTACCTATCAGGCATTGCCAAAGTTGGTAATTGAATCGGCCTGGTGTCCAAAATCATCATGAGAGGAGACAATGTCCTTTGTTGTTTATATACCAGAGACCGACTGACATTTCGCGGCCATGATTCCTATATACTTAAATACCTCTATCGAAGCCGATAGTAGCAATTAGACGATAGTAGCAATAGCAATAGCGATAACGACGACGAGGACAGTGATAACAACAACGATAGTAACGACGATAACAATAGTAACAATGACGATAATAATAACCACGACGGTAATAGTAACGACGACGATAGTTACGACGACGACGATAGTAAAGACGACGACGATAGTAAAGACGACGACGATAGTAAAGACGACGACGATAGTAAAGACGACGACGATAGTAAAGACGACGACGATAGTAAAGACGACGTAATAGCGACTACAACAACGACAACGAGAACGACAATAGCAATAAATAATAGAAGCGCCGGCGAGGACAGTAAAGTAGACTATAGCTGTAGGAAGAGTAGTCGCTCTAGCATAGGAAAGATGGGCGGTCTCTTGTGTAAGTCGAGTGCAGTTCAGAGGATGAGGGCCTGTACAAGACGAACAACATGGTGACTATAAGTCTCACCTTAACGACAGCACTCCTTCTCCATCGGCTTAGACATCTTCCGCTACGACGACCATACATACACAGCAGTGCCGCCGCTAAGCATCCAAAGCCCCGCCTGCAAAACCCGGCGAAAGTCGAAACGTTCCGGCACAGGCGTGGCGTCCATCTTAGCCATCCAATCGTCGATTCTATCGTCCCAGTAATACACACGATTATGCAGGCGTTGAAGCTTATTCAGCACCCTGTCAATCGCGTCATGAGACTCTCGTATCTCGATGCGTTGCTGCCTGAATCCGTCGAGAATCTTTTGCTTGTCGGCGTTGAAGGCGGCCTCGTAGGCCTTGAGGGCGCTGTAAACGACGACGGGGTGCGCTTCGCCCTTTTGGAGGTTGTTCATCATCGTGTCAAGCTCCGCTGCGGTGGGGGCGGCTGAGACGAGGTAAGAATCGTTGGCTGGCCTTTGGACGTTGGCGGCAGAGATCGGGGTTGCATGGATGCCTCGTGAGGTGATGATGGACTGGATGCGAGGCGGGAGTGTGATGGGTCGGGTGACCCTCGAGATGAGTTGGCGGGCTAACTACAGAGTTGTCAGATACACATCTCGGTGCACAAGGAGATGGCTGTACCATATTGGGTGAGTTGTAAGAGGTCACCATGTGATATGTTTGCGAATTCGGAAGCGGCAGGTGTGCCACAGAGTGAAGTGTGTGTTTCAACCTCAGATACCTAAACAACCTTGGCGGTGGCCATCAAGTGACCCATGGGGCACCACGGTAAAGTCGGATTCTCTTGATTCATTCGTCCATACGCTGGGCCTTTTTCCTGTCAACTTATTTCACTGTCCTGATAGGCCGTACAGGTCCAGCTTGAGTTACGAATGAGTGCTTACACGAGTTCATGTGAGCGCGGTCGTTATTTCTCACTTGGTTTCCAATTGGAGATAATCATCTTGTTTTTCCTAGCATACAACTACGATTGAGCTTCTACTGTAGGGACCTAGTCTACTAAAAGTGCTTCGAAGAGAATAGCAAAGTTTCTATTATTTTCTCATGTCTCGTGAAGTGTCACAGTACAACGTCAACGAGCCGTGCTTAATCATGAGTATGATTCGATAAGAAACTAGCCGCTCCTCTTTTTCTATTCTTTTACTGCGCTCTCAACGAGCACCCCACTGCAGCTACATCCGAAACACTTAATCTTCCTTATGAAGATGACGCTCGTAGACTACATATCGACGATATCCACCCGCTGCGGTACGAGTATCTGTCTCGTCATGTGGCAAGCTTGTATTAGCGGCTGATGATGTCCTGCTACATAAAAATCCCTGATAGCTCTGTGTCTAGGCTGCGAGCCATACTTGCAGACCAATTCCTACGCCGATATTAGTACAGGTCTATCGACTTAACGATGCGCTTTCTCGGGGGTCAACAAACCTATCACTGCCCAAAATACCGGATGCGAAAGAAATTGGCCTCGTCGAGCAGTTTCTGACAACAGTTCCTCACCAGCCATAATGAGTTGTTGAAGCTCACTTGGTTCTCTGACCAAGGAATCCTCAAAGCCTGGCAAACCCTCTCCGTATTGCAGATCCTTTTCTCCCAGGGAATCGTCTGCTGTATCATGTTGTGGTTTCAGGTCATTCTGTAAAAGTGACATTGCATCTTCGATCTTTGTGTCTTCGTCTCTGAGTTGATCATTCAAGAGCTGCAACAGAGTTTTTTTTGCTTTGGCCGGCTTGCTGTGGTGTGTTGACGACTGTCAAGGTGGAAGAGAGAAAGACGGTAAGCTGTCCACGGTGCCAACGTGTAAATAATTGCGGGACAACCAGGCAGCAAATCAGATGGTGCTCTTCATCGGCCGGGACCAGCATATGCAGTACAACCGAAAGGACCCCCAGTTGAGATACGCTCCGCCAATGACGCTGTTCTGACTGGCTTGGCTCTGCATGGAGAAGCAGGCTGGGATGGATGCCAGCGACCCACACCCAGGCCAACGACCGCTTATGTCCAACCCCGGAAGGCACAGACAATGACCGATATGATTGCCGTCGGAAAGTATGATTAAATACATAAGGACCAGTCAAAAATGTTTTGATCGAGATGCTGGAAGACGGGCTCTTTTAGGTGTGAAACGATGACTGGGGAAATGGTCAGCGGCCGGCGGAAAGATGGTCAGCATCGTGTGATTTGTGTATATCGAGCTCTCTGGAATGACAATTTACAGAAGACTCTGTTAGGTAACGACTGGGGGAAAAAGAGGATAGTGACGTTCTTGCAAGCGAACTAGCCGAGAAAAATTAGTTAGAGCCTTGCCATCCGGGCGGATATTTATTGTATTAGGACGCATACCTTAGTTCATTTAATACAAGTATTTATTGACCCTATCGTTCCTGGTGTCCCTGTTGCTCGTGCTGTCTCTATCTTCCCTGTCGTCCTTGTTGTCCCTACTGTCTCTATCGTCCCTGATGTCTCTATCTTCCCTGTCCCTGTCTTTGTCGCTGTCGTCATCGTTGTTACCCCTATCGTCGTTTATGCCTACTACCCGCCTGGACAGCAATACTCATTACTTATACCGAGACATCGACAGTTGGTATGCATGGCTGGGTGTATCTTCAGCCCTCACAACAACCTATGCACGTTGAAATAATGGGTTAAATAGGGAAAGAAGAATAGTCAGTCACTACTTGACAAGTATAGTCGAAGGTAATAGATATGAAGGACGGAGGCGACTCACATATTTCCCCGTCAGGATCATACGAAAGTCGAAAACGTGTGTCCGCAGGCAGTATCTTGCCATACGAAAGTATAAGAAAGAAGTCAGAAGGAATGAAGTGGCCCAACCTCCGCCTCGAGGCTCTCACAACCACGCCGCCTGGTCCTCTGGCCCAGCCCTGTATCAGAGACGGATGAGCAAGAGCAAAAAAGCATAGAACATGCTCTAAACGCAGGTATACTAGTGACGATGTGTTTGATTCTGTTTCCCAAAAAGGGGTTCTGCATAGTAGCTTGAAACGTACCAGACATGCGCTATGTCCCCGGCCGCTGCTTCGTAAATCGACTTTCGATTGTAGCCTAGGATTGCTTTATAGACTGAAATCGTTTCCGATAACTCGTGCGTCACTCAGTCAAGCTCTACCATTGATCCAAAATTGACTCGAGTTCAGGAATGTGGAGGGCGGGTACCACTATGGTCTTTACCCTGCTGATTGAGGCGTGGTCGTAGACGATGAGAAAGCTTAAACGAAAAACTGAGAGAAGGGAAAATGAAAAGCCAGACACACCCCTGAGGCTTTTAATCGTACTTTGACTCCTTCAACCGTTCAATTTCACTCATTCAAACGTGGGCTTGGCCAAACGAATCAAGAAGTCAGATTCTACAACACATCAGTTATTATCTACGCCAGGCTAAGTCTCTTGAGGTATTTCGCTGATTCGAGATTCCTTTATTCGATGATTTGCTGAAGCTCATCCTCCAGTGCCTTCATTCATCCCTCATGGCTGGATCGACTCAGCCCGCTCCGATGTCTGCCGCCAAGCTCCAAGCCACTTCATCGCCATATGTCCCGGCCTGGAGTTCTCTACCACCGGAACTGCGGCAAATGATACTTGAAGTTCTCGCACGACAAACTTCTGGTTGGGGCGCCTGCGCTTCTGTTTGTCGGGAGTGGCAGGCTACACTGGAGAGAGAAAGTTTTCGCCGGCTAAAACTACAAACATCATGCTTGGATGATATGAAGGCAATGGTCGGTAGAAGGCGAGCACATCTTGTTCGACATGTATGGCTAAACATCGACCTGAGGCCGTACACATGTCGAAGTTGTACGAAGCTTGAAAGTGATTCATGGCACCATAGCAACATTCGTGTGGTTCGAAGAGCAATCGTGAAGCTTTTCTCCATCTTGTCGCGGTGGCCGGTAACAGAGGGAGCCGAGCTGACGCTGGAGCTCTCCATTCAGTCTCCGAGTGATAAGGAGCATTATTTCAAGAACCTTCACTTTGGTGGTGGTGACGAGCATGAGCATCTCATACCCAAACGGTCTGGTAATCAGAATTTTTACGATTCTAAGCATGGCTGGACAAAGGGACGTCAGGTCGATACTCCAGACGAAGTGGGTTTACTACGAATTTTCGGGCCTCTTTATTCCTTGAAATCCGAGAAAGCCTCCCTCAAGTTAAGGTCGCAACACGGTTCATACTCCGCCGGCAGTGTCGAAGAAATCTCGAGCCTACAGCCCTAGGGGCTCTATTCGATGCCCTTCCTCGGCTATAGTCATTGATTCTTGAGCTATGGCAAGTTTGGGACGCGTTCAAACAGAAGCGTATATGGGATCCTCGTAAGATGTTATGCTTATACCTATTTTTTATGCTTACTAACTTCTCGCCATGCAGAATACTTAAGCCTCATTGAATTACATTTGCCACAAACACTGAAGCAAATATCCGTATTTGAAGAGACCAACGAAAGTTATATTAGATTACTTCGACATGGGCGACAATTTATTCAGAGACCTGCCAGAGTCCGAGTAACATCGCCTGCGGTCAGTGCTGCTTTCGCCAAAAGAAGTCTTAGTCTTGAAAAGCTCTCCGTTGCATTCATGGTTGAAGCCTCGGACTTCTTCCGGTCATGCCAGCAAGACTGGGTCTGGAGCCATATGAGATCCTTGACCCTTACATCGAGGATGCTTACCCAAACAAGAAGTCCCGAGATACAAACTCTCTTGGAGAATGCTGCCATAACAGCACTTTCAATGCCACATCTACATACAATGGTCATTTGGAATGGTCGCAAGGGGGAAGCTTTCAAGTTCTTCTATCGCGCAGAGAGTAGCCAAACCTGTATCGGGTGGCGTGGAACGTGGGATTTAAAGCTGTATTCAAGTGTTATGCGTGGCTGGCAGAGAGTTGCGGATAAACATACTCGGCATGACCTTCAAGTCGCTCCAGAACCTCTCATACTCAAAAGCATCGGCTCTCACGCTGATGCTATCGACCTCCTAGACTTGCCCTCGGAGGTTGTCCATCCGGTATCTTTACTGCAGATGCAAAGAGAAAATGGATCGAGTTGGTACAAATATCGGAGATGAACAGGCTTTACTTATGGTGTCATCTAGCACAGATTAGGACAGCCCTCTTCAACACGGAGAAGCCCTTGAAGGCTTAAACCAAGTTACCATGCAGAGGAAGTTCCAATAAGATTAGTTCTGTAGCTTAGGCACTTCATTAACTTTGCGATGAAGCCTCAAAATGACACTACGTCCCATAAGTCGATACCTTCCTGCCGCAGACACGAGTTCACGACGGGAGAGGGGAAACTTATTTGTACAACTTTAAAAGACAATGTATTCCAGGCATCTGCCATGACTCTACTCAACACCAGTGCCGTCGATTTCCCCGACTTCCCAGAGAGACCGCCCTTGCGTAACTGTTTGAATGGAGAAAAAGTATCTGCCTGCCGTCGCCGCCAGCCTACCCGACCAGCCACCCCGACCCTTCTTCTACTAGAACGTGATGCCATAATCAACCTGCACCAGTTCGGAAGAGAAAAACCCAGAACGCGTACCAAAAAGCACCTAGAGCATCCCGGCAAGAAACAACAAACCACCGGTCAGATATACAAATCACAGTGAAAAACAGCGACGACCACTTCAGCCAAACCAGAGCCCTTTGTTTCAGGGATAGACTAGCTCAAAGAGTTGCGTCAAGCGCAATACGGAAAACGAAGAGGTATCAGCCGAAGAGCCACGCGTGACGCCGATCAAAACGCCTCATAACGCCGCCTCGAGTGATGAAAAAATGAGGAAAAAGATATGCCTAAGCTTTGCGCGTCGATCTTCGCAGTGTTGGAGTAGATGCGTAGATTGTGTCGCTGCTGCGACCCATGCCACGCCCGAATCCACGTGCACCCGGTGCGATCGGAGCTCTAGATCTGACGGGCAGGACAAGCTGAGGAGCGTCCATGGGAGGCAACTTTGCACGATCGTGATCTGAAGGAAGTCTCTACTTCTTCAAGACGGCGTCGTACAAGCTCACGAGACCGGTGATGGCAGCGCCTGTAAGGATGCCCTTCCATTCGCCGTACAAAGCACCGTTGATGCGGTCGATCGAGTTCTCGTTAATCCAGCCGCCAAAGGTGACCTTCTGTCCGTAAACGACGAAGGAAATGAGAGCCTTTACGATGCTGAAGACGAGGGGATCGACATTGTACTCTACTGTCGTGAGTTCGGAGCCCTCGCGCCTCTGGGGATGGCTAGCCGCGCTCAAGTTGTAGAAGTAGCCGAACAAGGACGGAATGAGGACGGATGTCAGGGTCCACAGGGAAACCGGGGACCAGAAAGACGAAGTCACGAACAGAAACGCGTCGGGCACGTAAACTGGGTAGAAGCTGGTGCCTAGCGCGGGGATAGCCGGGATAGTGAAGGCGTAGCGCAGGGGTAGAACCTCGGCGCGCAGATTCCACGCCTCGAACGCAGCAACGGTGAAGAGGATGGAGGTGACCGTTGACAGAGAGGAGCGAACGGCCTGAGTACCCTCCTGGATGCCGGATTGGTCGTACAATTCTGTGGCGCGTTCCCGGATGGCGACTGTGTGGCGGTCGACAGCCTCAGCGACGTCGGCAGGGGTTGCGGGCAGAGGAATACGGCTGGCGAGAGAGAGGTTGCGGGCAGGCGTTCGCAGAGCCAGGGCAGTCGAGGCCGCGGCGGGCTCTGGGCTGGATGATGAAGCCTCCTCTTCTTCAGGTTCAGGCCTACAGACGCGTCCGTTAGTTCGCGATCACGAGCGGGGACGCGCGAGTGGATTCCTCTCTGCAATGCGCATCGCGCAGCAGAGAGTCCGGACTTTGCGACTTACTCGGGACGGATCTCCTCGATGACTCTCGTAGTCCTGCGTCGCACAGACTTGACAACTTCCGACGAAGGAGCCTCCCTCTTGATGGGTGAGCCGGCTGCCTTGGCGCGGCTCGTGTAGTAGGGAGTGAGCTTCGGCTCGGTAGAGAATTTGAACGCGTTTTCCGTGAGGTACTCATCGAGGGTAGCCTCCAAATCGACCTTCTTCTGGTTCTCATATCTAAAGGAGCAGGTCGTTAGCCATGAGGGTTCGTGAGGATGTCATGCACCTAGTGATCTAGGGTGGTTCGACGCGCCTCGAGGGGTAGCCTTGCGCGACCGATCCGGCAGAACGCGATCGCGGCGCAAATCGCAGTCGAATGCGCCTTGCGCAAAGGCACGAAGCTCATGATGGACGCGAGCTGGCGCATGAGAGGGAAGAGCAAAGATTCACGTACCCAGTAAGTCCGGTCAGCTCTGCGAGCTCGACCAAGTCGCTCTTGCGCTGGCGAACGAGCCACGGGTTTGCGCCCGACATGGTTTAGTAGTTGAAACGGCGGAAAAGGCGACTGAGATGGGTATCACAGGAATCGCGCAGAAGAAGCGACTCTAAATCTTGGAATGAAGAGATGTTCTTGTACAGTGATTGGAGTGATGCAAGGGAAGAAGGGACCTTTCGGTTGTGATAATCGTGGGACGTGGAGGGGCAAATGGTGATAACGGACAACGGGTAGCTGGGCTGAGCTGAGCTAGGTTGTAAGGGTGTAGTGTGTGTGGATGAGCGAGTTGGTCGAAGCGTTGTTTATGTTTTTTCCCGTCCTCGACAGCGGGCCACTTTGTTGTTGTGGTGAGAGAAAGCAGCGGGATTTGGGGGGTTCAGAGGGACAGAAGGGTGAGGGAGGAGGAGAGGGGATGACGAGTGACTCGGGGCGAGTGCGCCTTCGTGCACTGAGACCGTGTACCTCCCTCCTGCCGTCCCGAGCAATCACACAGGGAGCTGGAGACCCTCTGGGGGGGAGGGGCCTCCCGGAGAAGTTCGATAGCGGGTGCATGTGCTGCAACAGCGGTGCGGGTGCTGCAGATGGACGTTGCGACTGGCTTAGCGGCCCCCGGGAGCAGCAAGCACTGGCCAGTCATGACGAAAAGGGTGGGGCATTCTTCGCTGCTCATATCCACCACTGACGCGACGGCAACACGGGACATGAATGCGCCCTCCAATGGAGCTGTCCGAATTAGGCAAGAGCCTGTAAACAAACGGCATAGTCGCTGGCCACTGCTCTCGACTACTGTTGATCTCCCGACATGAGCCATCTGGGGACTTTGCCGGGATGATGCGTGCTTTTCAATAACACGTTGCCCGATTCCCCCCCCTCCTCTTTACACCACGCGCGCGAAGAAGCCCGGGAAATGAACGTGATGACCATCAGCTAGCTGCCATGCCAACCGCGGGGTTTCAAGGTCAACATTGGCAGTTAGATTCAGTATCATCCAATCATCGCTATCAAATGACATGGTCTTGATACACTTGATAATCGTTCTCTGACAGAAAGACAGCTGCTATTCCAGCCAGTTCTTATTGGTATGTCCAAACATCTTCAACCTCAATAATGTACAGAGATACAAACGCCCGCAGGTATCCAACCCTGCCATAACCCAATCTAGGCAGAGTCCACTAAAATTACAAACCTCTCCTTGCCCCTGGGCACGATCCTCAGCGGAACAGTCGTCCCATGCGGCAACTTCAACGTCAACATCGTGCTCGCCGTCTTCAGCGTCTGCCGGCACTTATCCTGCGCCTTCTTATACAACTTCGCCCGCTCCGCCTGGCTCATCGCCTCGACCTCGGCATCACTAGCCCACTCGTCCACCGCCAACTCGAGGCTGTACCGCTGGAAAATGACAGACAACGCAGCGATAATCTCCACCTGCGCAATGCGCCGCCCCAGACACGACCGTGGGCCGTCGGAGAAGGGCACGTACGACCCCCGCACCGGCCGGAACATCTTTTCGCTGGTGTCGGACCCCTTGTACCCCCCGTAGTCCTCCGTGTCACCACCCTTGTCCTCCGTCTGCTCGCCGTTGATGTTCTGCCGGTACCACCGCTCCGGGACGTAGTCGTCCAGGTCGTGCGCCGCGTCCGTGACCTTGCTCGGCTTCGACGGCCAGTTGCGCGGGTTGCGGTGCGCCGCCACCCCGACGATGGAGATGTGGGCGCCCCGCGGCAGCGCGTGCTTCTCGCCGTCGAGGGTCACGATGCCGTCGCCTTCGGGGTTGACCTTCTTAGGGATCTCCGTCACGGCCGGCGTCATGCGCAGCGTCTCGTTCATGCAGGCGCCCAGCATCGATGCGAGCATGGGGTTGACCGTGCTGTCGTAGTTCCACGTACTGGGGTCGCTGTCGCCAAAGATGCCGTCAATGTCTTTCTGGAGCTGTCGCTGGACGGCCGGGTTGCAGGCGATTTCGATGCAGCCAAAGTGCATGGCGTTCGCTGTTGTCTCGTGACCGGCGACGAGCATGATAAAAGCGTTGCCGGTGATTTCTGACTTTGACAACTGGGGGATCTTCGAGTCCTTGCCCTTGCTGACGATACCGTTGGCGCCCCCATTGATCTCTCCTTCATTGCCGTACTTTGACCTCACAAGCTGCCCCATCAGATCCATGCCCGCGTCCCCGTGATCGCCCTTTTGCAGGTCCTCAATCTTATCTTGCATCAACTCGTCAATGTACTGCACATAGTTGTCGTGCGAATCCATCGCAAGCTTCGTGTACTTGAACGGAAGTCTCTTGAGCAGCCACCGCGGAACCAGCAACAAGACCAGAATGTGCTCCAACATCTCCGCAATCGCATCCACAAAGCTCATCGTATGTCCCGGCGGCGCCTCCAAAGAGCTGTACTTGGTAAGCTTCGGGTCCGTTCCCGCAGGCAGCACCTGCCCCGGCCAGAGCAGCCGCATGCCGAAGCCCACGTAGCTGATGATGTTCAGCGCGAGGCGCATGGTGTCGTGGTCCAGCGTCTCGATCGTCTTCGTGCCCTTGCCGTCCGCGCCGAGCCACTTTTGCGTCATGCTCTGCGCCTGCTTGATGGACTCGGCGAACACGAGGGCAGCGTTCTTCTCGTTGAAGGTGGCGGAGGTGACCTTGCGGTGCATGCGCCAGGCGGCGCCCTCGGTGGTCAGGACGTTTTCGCCAAACTGCTTGAGGATCGCGTACGTCTCGACGAGCTTGGGGAACTTTTCGCGCTGCTGGGTGATTTGGTGGATCGCCTCGGCGCTGTCGGTTAGGATGAGGATCTGAAACGGGGAAACGATCATGAACGTCTCGCCGTGGCGTGCGAAGGGTTCGTGGAGGAGTTCGTAGGACCAATTGGGAATTGCGACTCTGCTTTGGAGTTAGCATGACGAGGAGAGGGCAAGCTTGTCTTGGTACCGACTGTAGCCAGTTCTCCCACCATGTCTTTGGAAGGGTCTTAATGATGGGGAGCCAGAGTTTATGGGTTAGCTGCCAAAGCATCGAGAATGGCGAAATAGCTGCGCATCTATAGTCAGTACCAGGCGGATCCCAACACATCATGGACACATACGAGACACGACGTAAGGCAAGCCGGACTTCTTTGCCTCAGCTATGTTGCGCTGCAAGCCGGAGACATAGGAGTAGACGCCATAGGCGACCACCGCCCCGACGAGAGCATAGATGGAAGACACCATGATGTCGAATCCCACACACCAATGGCCTTTCGAGGAATCGAAGTAGCGACGTGTGCGATAGAGTGGGTAGCGGGGTGCTTGACTGAAGTTATAGCCAGCCGGGGGGTTGAATTCGGGTGCAATTGGCGGCAATTGGCGGCAATTGACCTCAGGCTCCTCTTCGTCCTCCCCTGGTTCGACCTCGAGAAGATTTAATAGTATGGAGAATTATGATCACAAGGAAACAAGCACGTCAACCGGACACTGGAAAGAACAGAAGAAAAATAAAGGAAAGATTTGACACAAGAGTAATGGAAGAAACGAAAGAAGGGACAAAAACGTCCAAGCAAACACGGGACAAGCCCCCATGTGGCAGCAAGTGGGCAGGGGTTGACAGCTCTGGTTTCGGAGTGCGCTCGACCCGAAACTAGCACAACCCCTACCCCATTGTTACGAACTTGAATGGGTAGCGTGAGCTTTAGCTCTATGGATCTCGTCGAGCGTGTTTGCTCCCTCTCTTGCTAATTATCCACATGTGATTCGTTGGTAGGGGAGAAGCTCAGAGAGATGACGATGGGCGGATCGATGATAGGTTGGGCGTAGAACAAACTGTTCTCTCCAATCTGCACACCGCTGGGTGTTATCCCCTGTCAAGTCTCAGATCAACAGACTTCGACATTGGTCGGATGAAAGGTTCCTCGAGGCGGTAAACGGTTCCCGGCAGCAGATAGCCTGTTGTACTTCTGAAAACAAGAAACGAGTAGACCAACAGAGAGCAAACTTGCATCGACAATGACAACTTGATGAATCAGAGACTCTTGGAAAAAGTGCTGCCCTGCAGTAAACGCCCACCAATGTGTAACACTCCGCCAGTTGGTTCCCGGCGGGGCGGATCCATCAAATGGGGCGCGTCACAGAGTGCGCGGCGAGTCCCCATTGGCAGCGGAAATTCACCCCCATGCATCCTCAGGGAGTCAAAATCTCCACGCTTGCCGCGGTAGGCAAGGTTTGCCAGCGACCGAACTGCTTTTTCCCCCGCATGAGCAGGGCTCGACGTTCTTGTCCTCCCAAGGATCCGATAAACGAGAGACACGAGACGACCGAGAACGCAGTCCTAAAAAGCTGTATTCGTAGGTAGGGTTCCAGAAGCGCCACCTCCGTGACGGTGGACATACACCTACAACTTGATTCGCCGAGGAGACAAAGACGGCGCATGCACGTCAACTCAACCTCTAAATTTCCGAGTACATGTCTCGGCACCGCCCGACGCAGGACCGCGGCGCAGCCTGTCTCGACTGAGACCGGCGTCGCGAACCAAGAAAAAAACAAGTGGTCACTCGTGCCATTGCGGCGATGTGGTTACCATATTCTGTCTCTTCTCAATTGCCGACGCAGGAAAGTAATTCTACGTCTCGTAACCCAATGCCTCGTCAGTCATACAGTCTGTGATTTCTAGTACTGCCATGCTCCCGCCCGAAAAAAGAAATGCAGGGTATCAAAGCCCCCATCCAGTACCATAATTAAACCAACGCCCAAAGCAAATCGCCCTCAATGCAGTTCAAATTGCCCGCTAACCCCTTCGAAGCTGGTGATTGTGCCGCCCAACGACTTGGAGTCGCCATAATACCGGAAGCGATATGTTCCTGCTTCCACATCCCCTTCCGTCTCCCACGTAATCTCCACCTCACTGGTGGCCAAGAGATCACTCGTTCGCTTCCAGTGGAATATCAGACTCCAGTCCTGGTCGTCTCGAACAATGTCCCACTTCTTAATTCCGCCAACATCGATGACGAGACGCTCTACAGCAGCGTAGGTTCCTTCAAGACGCAGGTTGTTCCGGGGATTGGCTCCGACAAATGTGGCACGCACCACATCGCCAATCGAATACTTCTGTTCCACGTCCTTCTTCACGTCACCGAAACTGCGGAAGACTGGTGTGCCGTCGCGGACAACACCAGTAATGAAGCTCAAGGAACGGTCGCTATTGTCCGGAGGGTATGGACGCCCGGCGTGCGACGGCGGCTTCTTTGCTGACGAGGCGCCCAGCGTGGGCAGGTAAGTCAGAGTGCGATTGATGTACGCGGCCAACGTATAAGGTCCATACAACGTTGATGCACCTTCGTATCTTTGAATGCTGTGGGAATCGTTAGCAGCAGCGGACAACATGTCACGACATCCCACACTTACCCATATTCCTGTTGAGTTGTGATGTAGTGGGTATAGCTGTTCGCCGGTCCACCGATTACCACAATAGGTTTGAGTGCCGTTTCATCACTGAATAATGATTCGGCCTCGCCCCTGACGGCATCTTTCCAACGACGTCCTGCCATGGTCGATGCCTCGCCTGGGCTGACAATGATAACCAACTGGCCGACTCGGAAAGCTTGAATGTCAACAATGTTGGGTGTCCACTGGTACGGGTTGAAAACCTCGCCCACGTCCAGCAGGATTGGTTTAGGAGAATGACAAGCAAGCTGATCTTGGGTCGGGGCTTTCAGCAAGCCAGAAACGACCTTCCACAATGGGGATGTGTTTGAAGAGTTCGAATCGTGCTGGGTAAAGTCAAATGCGCCAGGCCCGTCAGAGGTTCCCGCAGCGAACGAGTATCCGAGTGCCGCAGGACAAGTCCGCACCTCAGTGCCGTTGGGGAGCTCGAACTGGAAGTCGGACATGTTGTGGAAAGTGTGGAACGACTTGACCCACGATCCGCGTACTCGCTGGGCATTGTCACCCATTTCGTCATACAGTCTCCTGGCGGCATCGAATTGTCTTCTGCCTATTTCGTAGCAGGACTTGGCTCCGCTATCCTTCTCTCGGAAGAACGGGCCTCGGGCGTGACACTTTTGGCTCCTGCCGTCACCGCAGGTGCTGGTCTTGAAGTCGCATTGCGAACCGCTGCCATCTTCGCACCAAGCGCCGAGAACGTTTGGACTGACATCCCCCATATTGGCCTGGGAGAAGCCGGCGATGAAGTTCGACGTTACGTGATCTTGCCCACGGACACTTTTCTCAAAGAGCCAAGCTGCCACGCCTTTGTTGTCTCCCGAAATCAGAGTGTTGTTGCCGAGCATCGACGTGCCGTGCGTAGGAAACCACGTCAAAACAGCAAGGCTCTTGCCATCTGATGCTCTTTGGAACTTGAGCAATGTCAAGTCCTTTTCGACAGAGCCGTCTTCTTCGGCACTAATGTTGTACTTGGCACGTTCCTCCTCAGGATTTGCCATGTACGCATACAAGCTTCGGTTGATGTTGGCGCCCTTGACTTTGGTAGTTCCAACGCTGAGATGGCCAGGCACCAAGCTCTCGTGGGCACGCTTGATGGCGAGCAAAGTGCCGTCAACGATAGCCCGGTAGCTCTGCTTGTCGAAGCCCTTGCTGGTGATTTGTGGCAGAAGATAGTTGAGCCAAGCACCCGGTCCAGAGTGGGAGTGTGTCCCGGTGAGAGCTAGATTGTGATGGCCGTACATGGAATACTCATAGCCAAGGTCTGCAAGGCCATGCAAAACGCCATACCGGACCGCAGTGTCCCCGGACTGTGTGTCTAGAACGACGTAGATGAATCGATCGTCCGGTTGATCGACGCTTCCGATGATGAAAGCACGAGCATAGAGCCTCTGGCGAAGGCCGGTTCCAAGCTGTTTGGGATCTGCATATCCCATCATGTTGATCTCCACAACCGGACCGGTAATATCTGCGCGACCAGCGCCAAGAAGATAAACATCGTTATCTGCATCGACATTTGCAGTGTTGAGCTTGCCAGGAAGCTGTTTCGATTTGCCAAAATAGAGGTAGGTCTGCAAGATGAAGTTGACGATGATCAAAAAGGAAATGACTGGCCAAAGCCGGGTTAATAAGGAACTTCGTGAGGATTGCTTCCCTGCCGAAGCTCTCTGAGCCACCGCTGCCGGAACGGCCGGGCTCTTATCCAAGCTCTGTCTTGCCGGCATTTTGAGTCTCTGCCGATGTGAAGGTGTTGTGTCACTCAAACATGGGGAAACGAAGTGAAGTTGGATGGAAGAAACGCATTACGGGATGCAAGGGTCTGAGCGTTCAGCTCAACGTGAACGCGCGGAGGGATCATTGTGCGACACGGAAGTGTCGGCCGGACTTGAATCCATGTCTTGGGGGAAGCGCGGGCCAATGACGCACTTTCCCACTGAGGTTGGCTGTGACGGAAATTGTTAGTGCTACAGTCCGTTGCATTGACAGCGTCCGCCCCCGACTTTATGGCCCGAAAAAAGCAAAAAAAAAAAAAAAAAGGGGTATTTTACTGAAAAACCACTAAATTACCCTAAAATTCCATACCTTAATAGCTCTATACGTACGTAATACGTGAGAATAAAAAGTACATCGTTATAATTACCTAATCGAGGGCTATCGATTAATATATTTTTTATTCTTACGTATTACGTATATATAGAGCTATTAAAGTACAAAATTTAAGGTAATTTAGGGGTTTTTTTAAGCGGGGTTTTTTTTTTTTTTTTTTTGTGTTATGAAAATTTTCTACTAGCCTAAAACCCCCTAAATTACTCTAAATTTCATATTTTAATAGCTCTATACGTATATAATACGTGAGAATAAAAAAGATATCGTTATAATTACTTAATCGAGGGCTATTAATTAATATATTTTTTATTCTTACGTATTACATACGTATTGAGCTATTAAAATATGAAATTTAGGGTGATTTAAGGGGTTTTAGGCTAGCGGAAAATTTTCCTTCCGGGTCAAAGTTAGGGGCGGACGCTGTCAATGCAACGGACTGTAGCGCGCAGCGGCATTCGGGCACTGCCAGATTGCCCTGTGGAGCACAAACGCTTAACCCAACGTCGCTGCTTCTTGCTGCATCAGCTCCCGGCACAATATTGGATGAGGAAGCTGCATCCATTCACACCTGCCAAGCCCGTGATGTGGTGATGAATGCAACGGACGTTCAAATTTCTGGCAGGAGCAGACAACAACCTGGATAGGTACCCTCTCAGACCGGGCCCGGGTCGATCCTCTTGAAGATGTGGCCTGTCGTGATGTCTTCAGTTATGAGCGCCCCAAAGAACCACATTTCGAACCTTTTTCAGCATCAAAAAATCTTCCGAAAATCAGAAGCCTCAAAGATGCGTACTACAGAAAAACAAAAGGCAACCCCCATCGCCGAAGGTGTGTGAGGGCCCTTTTAGTTGATGTTTGATGATTGGCTGCGCCGGTGAGGACCATAGAGGCGCCAGAATCTGTTGGTTCAGTCCCTACTTATTAGAACGTCTCTGCCGTCGTCGTCTCTACCTTTATCGTCATCTACCTTTATCGTCATCTACCTTCGTCGTGGTCTACCTTCGTCATGGTCTACCTTCGTCATGGTCTACCTTCGTCATGGTCTACCTTCGTCGTGGTCTACCTTCGTCGTGGTCTGCCTTCGTTTTGGTCTTTGCTATCTTCGTCGTCGTGTTCTTTATCGTCGTTGTTTCTACTTGGATCGATAGGCTACCTCTTAATGCTTCGAGTACATCCGAGCACGGGGAATATGGTCGCATAAGTAGACACAGGAAAGACAGGTGGGTTTAATAATACTGCCCAAGAATAAATTACCACAGCATTAAGGATACTATGAACAGGGAAGATAAAAAGGTTCAACAACGACGCCGCAAAACACATTCACATCCCCCATATTGGCCCAGATCAGAGTTGTACGAATATGACACCACCACACTGTTATCTCAATACGATCTCTAAATGATTTGCCCCCGATAATCGCAGCTGCTCAGTAGTACTTGGGGTTCTTGGGATCGGTAAGGTCGAAAATGACGGAAGAATGAGACCGAGCACCACCACGGTCGCGGGTGAAGATGCTCTCGAAATCGATCGTCCTGTTGAAACTGAGACCTCCGTTGGGAAGGATGTCAATCCAGTGGCCCTTGTAGTCTCCAGGGGTGTTGACAATTGAAATCTGTTTCAGACAAGGTCAGCCAAAAGTTCATCGGATATGATTGGAGGGCCACTCACATCGCCGCCCTGGACAAAGTATCCGGTAACAAGCAGGTTCTTCTTGTCGGGGCTGATCTTGACATAGTGCGGCCCGATGATGGGCTGCGTCTCGTTCGGGTCGTCGAGCCTCTTGACGTTGTTCAAGTCTGAGATGTCGAGCGCCGCGACGTGGTTGCCGAGCGTGATGGTGAAGTACGCCAGCTTGCCGTCGTCGCTGATATCCGAGTAGATGGCCAGGGAGTCCTTCGCCTTGGAGCCGAGATCGTAGAGCAGCTCGGCGACGCCCTGCTTTCCGGACGAGTCGCGGCGGAAGGGGTAGATGATCCAGACTTGGCCTGGGCCGACGGCGCTGGTGAGAAAAGACTGTCAGTAATGATCTTGTGAGGGGGCGACGGGCGGGGACTTACGTTGCGATGGCAGCGCTTTCGGGATTTCCTGGGATGAACTTCACATCTTGGATGCCGAGCCCCTGCAGAAGATTGCGTCAGTCTGGAGTCCAAGATCCTTGGCCAAAGGGTGCTCACGTTAGGGATGGTGATGGTCGAAATGATCGTTCGGTCAGACAGATTCCACAGTCTCAGAGTGCTCGCCTTCTGAATGCCCAGGGTCGGCTTGAGGATGGTGATGGGAACAACGAAATCAGACGTCAAGATGATGCCCTTGTTGAAGTCCACAGCCAGACCGTGGGGGCTGAACTGCTCGCCAAGGATGTTCAGCGTGCCAGCGACATCCTCAGGCCACTCGTGAATGATGTCTCCCTCGACGTTAGTCTCGACGAGACGACCGGGTGAGGTGCCCACTGCGCTGCCCATATAGGTGATGAAGAATCCACTAAACTAGTAAGTGATTTGTCGCGGAAGTAGCGATGGGAAGGGACACGTCGTATGGAACGAAACTTACCCCTCAGGCTTAGCTCTGATCTCGTCCACGATAGAGCTTAAAAGAGCACAGTTGGACTTCTTAAACTTGGGAGCATACGGGTTCGATACGTCAAAGTAGAACGCCGTATCCTGGGTCTTCAACAGTGAGAGAAGTCCACCTCCGACGAGGGTCTTGCCGTCGAGTGAGCTTCCCAAGTGATGAGGTGAGTTACCACTGGTAGGGACATCGGTGACGGTGATGATCTGCCCAAACGTATCCTGAATGCCCAAAACAGTCAATACTTTCAAACCCTCACACAGCGGACAGGGGAGAATATGGGGGTTATGTACGTCGTCCAGACTGGCAGTCACCAGGAAGTCTTTGTGAATGTTGTCACCTGCCCCAGTCCAAAAGTATCCAATTTTCTTGGGCTTGATGTTGGCACCCGTGAAAGGGGGGCTATCAATGGGAGGCGTGGGGATCTGGAGAATAGGGAGGGGCGGCGCGTTGGAGGCAAGAGGCTCCGTAACGCCTGGGATGGAGGGAATCAAAGGAGGCAGGCTGAGCCCCAGTGGAGCTCTCTTGCTGGCGGGGGAGTGGTCGTTGGCGTTGACAGGCCCTCCCGCTACAGCAGAGAGCAAGACGCCCGCGAGCGCTGCAAGGGAAAGCTTGGAGAGCATGGTGACAGACGGAGACGACAGACGGGGAATGCTTGATTGATTGAGGAGGGCTGATGAGGTCTGCTTGGTGATGCTGCTCTAAGTCTTTGAAGAAGGAGCAATCCCATCTGATTCTTATACAAAATCGTTCGTTCTGTTCACTAGTCGAGATATCTACTACTTGCAATCTGCCGTCCCGATCAGAACCCCCAACATCCCTTGGATATCGCATCATGAAGCCAATAAAGCTCCTCATCCGCGCCGTCGAAGACGAAGAGACTTCTTGGGTCGTGATATTCACAGTTGTAATTGATCTAGCCGCACAGCGCGGCACATGGTTGAAAATGACTTTTCCAAAACATTCAGATGATGCCCATCGCAATATCACAGCCGCGATAGACACCGCCAGAAGGACGTTTGGAGATGTCGCCATCTTGACCAACAGCGGCAAGTCTGATTTCCGAAGATGCCAAGATGCCCAAAATGAGGACCTGGACACAGGATTGTCTCAATTCGGCAGTGTACTTACTCACAAGGTCCCAATCCCCTGGTTTTCGCGGTGATCACCAAGAACAAGAGCAGGAGGGATCGACGACCAGCGGTAGCTTGCAGTCATACGCATGCTTAACTTTATGGCTAAAAAGAAGCTGACTTGGAAAGACTTTTGGACTACGATGAGGCTGTCGATCACTGCCTGTGGGATTCAGAGAAACATTACTCAGGTTGGTTGATGGTTCCAATAGCTTGGGATGGCATCATACCCCACGAATCAGGGAGTCTCGAAGGAGTCAGGATCTTTAGCGGCAACTTACTGTCCAGATCGAGGCTGAGAGTCAAGGGAGACTGAAGCAAACGACTTTTCTGATTACCATATTCTTGGGCTCCGGTGATTCAACGCTGTGGAATCAAGCTCAAGAAAAGCGACCTGAAGGTCGCACAGTTAAATGATGGTTTTCGGAAGCAGTGTGGTCGTATTGTGTACCTCTCTGCACTCGACTTCTGTAATTCATACCTTGGTGACGAATATTCACCAAGATAGTCAGATTTATGAGACCGCCTATTTTTCCTGTGCTAGAGCGACTGCTTTTCATGTGGCTATACTCTCTACTCTACCGTCGTCATCGTCGCTGCTATCATCGTCGTCGTTATCGTCATTACTACTGTTATCATCATTGCTATTCCTATCGTCGTCGTCGTCGTCGTCGCCACTATGGTTATTATTACTTCTACAACCAGCGCATTTTGGATCTCGAGTGTTGAAAAGCACTTGTTGTCCAAATCAAACGCGCACCTTAACATCAAAAGGAAGCAACAACAACCGCACCCCCACCCCAAGATTCATGTAAGCCAAGAAACAAAACAAAATTACCGGTCAAACTAAGCTTTCCAAGCTAACACGATCCGGCCCCATAGCGATCGGCGCGCCTGACCGGTGCAGGTGCAGCCCTCAAGCAACCTCCTCTCCCCCCACGCTTTCCTTCGATGTCGTGATCTTCGGAGAAATGTCGAATGGCCGGGGTCAACACAACCAAAATTCCTCGTTCAAAGACGAACCTCTCGACGATCACGGAGCTAGAGCTGCAGCACGAAAGAGATATTGGCGACTCAAAATTACCAGGTAGCATCAATAGTTCAATGTCGTCATTGCGAGAGACACAATGCTGCAGACCTGCTGCTGCCGAGCTGTAAGACGCCATGGCTTGGCTTGAACGTGATGCGCCGTGTAGTATTCCGCCATCGCCGGCGGGCATGTTGTGTAATAACAGATTCAGAGACGGAAGACCGTGGATGTTGTGGTTGTATAAAGGCAATGCTGAGACGAGCGCAATCCTCCCTTTCTTTGAACGTCACTCGACTCTGGGATAAACAGTTGTCACTCGTGTCTTTGCGCCGGTTTTCAGTCAGTCGTTGTACCGTTCATCATGAGACTCCTCCAAGCTTCCCTGCTGGGCCTCGCAGCGATCGCCTCGAGCACCAACGCGGCGCCCCAGAACGAGAAGCGAGACGCGCAGTGCAACGTCGGCCAGCCCATCGACGCCAATGGCAAGGGAGGCCCGATCCTTGGTATGTTACCTTCTCGAATACCTCGAATACCTCACTGACACGGGAGAGCACAGGCGGCACCAACAACCAAGTCGACAGAGACAACCCGGACAACCTAGGCCAGCAGCCAACCGACAACGGCGTGGTGCCCAACCTCAAGTGGAGATTCTCCGACTCCAAGACCCGGATCCTCAACGGAGGCTGGGTCCGCGAGCAGGTCATCCAGGATCTGCCCCAGAGCCATGACATTGCAGCTGCCCAGCAGCATCTCAGGAAGGGGGCCATTAGAGAGCTTCACTGGCACAAAGTGGTATGTTCATCCCACCATCTTCCCGTGCGGAATGATGTGTTGACAATGCGTGGCGGACAGGCGGAATGGGGCATCGTCTACTCCGGCTCCGTGCTCGTGTCGGCAGTCGATGAGAACGGCAGGTACCAAGCTGAGAAGCTGAACTATGGAGATATCTGGGTATTCACACTCGATCCTCTACTTGTATGTTGGCTCACAAGATGATATTAGTACTTTCCGAAGGGACTGCCACACACAATTCAGGGGCTCGACGATGAGAACGAGTACTTGCTTGCGTTTGACGAGGCCGACTTTGACAAGATCGGGTGCGTACTCCCTCATTGCAAGCGACGACTCTGCTGACATTGCAAAAGCACAACCTTCAACATCGTCGACTGGCTTGCTCACACCCCTCGAGACATCTTGGCCAAGAACTTTGGCGTCGACCCTTCGGTCTTTGAGAAGCTGCCGTCCACCAACCCGTACATCTTCAACGGCACCATCGCCACTCAGGACGTGACTGCCGGCGCCAATGGCTACCTGTCAGGCAACAGCTCGTTCGTGTATCGCACCCTGGAACATCCAGCGGAAGTGGTGCCCGGCAACGGCGGCGAGTTCAGAAAGATTGACTCGACCAACTTCCCCATTAGCAAGACCATCGCCGCAACCTTCGTCACTTTGAAGCCGGGAGGTCTGAGAGAGCTTCACTGGCACCCAAACGTAGGGGCGCACTCTTGTCCGGGACTCGGAACTGAGTTTCTAACACTTTCTAGGCCGAAGAGTGGCTGTACTTCCACAAGGGCGAAGGCCGCGCCACCGTCTTCATCGGCAACGCAGCGGCGCGGACGTTTGACTTCTCCGCGGGAGACACGGCCGCTTTTCCCGACAACTCCGGGTGAGTCAGCCCCTCTTTTCCGTGGGCGCCGTGCCGGATTCTGTTACTGACGAAAGATATGCTCCGCAGACACTACATCGAGAACACTTCCGACACGGAAGACCTCGTGTGGATCGAGCTGTACAAATCAGACAGGGTCGCCGACGTTCCTCTTACCCAGTGGCTCGCCCTGACGCCGCCGGAGATTGTAGCTCAGACCCTCAAGGTTCCGATTGAGTTTGTCCAGCAGTGGAAGAAGGAGAAGCAGATACTGATCTAGACCATTCGGTGACGGTTGAAGACAGGGATGGTTTCTCGGAAAGCTCGGTGTGACGATTCTTCTTCAGACGGCGCAGTCCATGTAATACTTGTTGGTAGCCGCTTAATACTTAATTCATGGGACGCATCTGCTGTGACAGCTCGCGAGTGCGTGTAAGCGGACCATCATCACGAGGTCAGGATGGTAATCCAACGATTCATGTCTGGCGCTTGTACATGCATGCAACGAAGGCTGATAAGCGGGGTATCAATAACGAACGGGGCCTCGGCCGGGAGTGAAAAAGGCATGCTGTCCCCCAAAAACCCGAAAGCATCTCCAGCTCCAACTTTCCTTTTGAGGCCAGACGAGACGGGAATGGCGGGCTTCGGTAGGATGGCAGCATATGCATGCAGGCTACCCTGGGGACCGGAGCGGGAAACTCTATCAGCGGCTAGCGGCGTTGGGCCAAGCGTGGGCACGCCGCTGAACCAGCAGGGGACTGACGGCTGTCAAGTCCTGACTGTGCAACACCAACCACGCGGGATCGTATGATGGTCGTAGTCTTGCGGCGGCAGATGGAGCCATGGACGAAAAGAAGGGTAGCAGAAGCATCCCATTGAGTGCGGGAAGACATGAAAAGAGCCCCGGCTACCATCGCTACGAAGTTTCTTGTGCTTCTTCGTGCTTCATGGGGTGGCCTCGGCGAGGACGGCAGTCTGACTTTTGCGACTTAAGGTGGTGTGAGTGGGAGAGAAAGAAAAGAAAGCTGGATGGTAGGCTAAGCTGCCCCTCGTTCATCGAGGTTGTGACGAGCGGCACTTGCTCCCTGCGCATCACGAGAGGGCAACAAGTCGAGACCACCTTGGGGGCGGGATGCGGGGGAAGACAGCATTGACCGAAGGGGGTTTTCAAAGTCTTGGAGGCCGGTTGATGGTGTCTAGCAGCACTTGTAAGTCGACGAGCTCTGAGGTGGTTTCGTCGTTTGACCATTCTCCACCGTGGCACGGCAGGGATGGCCGTTTTACGTCACTTGGGAGTTTGGGTGCCATATCAGCGTTGAGGATCATCCCCTCCTTCGACTAGCTGTCGCACCTGTGAGTGCCGTCTTCCAGGTAAATGCTGATAAGAAGTGACACCAGTCGAGTGGCCGTTTGGCATGATGAAGGTGAGAGCTCGGAGCTTGGATGTGTGGCCATGATAGCGTTCCCGGATATGCGAGCCGCGGGGCAGCCGCAGGTACCACAAACGGCCCAAATGGGCCCAACGGGTGTCCGGCATCAAGGCCATGTAGATCGGGTGGCCATTACAGTCATTCAAGACCCCGAGGATATTCAGGGAAGGACAAGAGAATCAACGTGCGAAATCTTGGAATCCTTCTTGGAATCCTGTGTCTCGGTGGAGGCCAGCGAAAGCTATTTGGCTGATCCGAGAAGGGCGTCGCATTTCGTCTGTGGCAGTGTGGGAGTGTCCAAACAGAATGGCAGATGCGAGCTGCAACGAGTCCCGAGAACGCAGCTCATCCTTTCCCGTTGGGGACGGGGGCCTGGTGGTCAAGT